CAAAGAACTGATGTTTGCCCCAAATAAATGAATTCCCCGAAGTTATAATTTACCTTAAAATCAGTTTTCCTTCTTCTCGATGGTGACAAAGACTTCACTTTAATGAATCAATGTTTTATAATATGCAAATTTCCAAGTTATTCCAGTGAGACTTTCAAATTCCTTTGTGAAAGATTCCTTTCTTAATTTTTCTAAACTGTTTAAATACGACTGCAGAAATCAATTTCTTTTCATTGTCTATTTCTGCAAGCAATGTATTAAAAGAAAATTAGATGTGATTAGGATAGATAATTAAATTAGACTTAATTAGAGGGTTAGATGTAATTTTTAAATTTCTAATAACAATATAAAGTATCTTGTTGGCAGAAGTGAAACACGTTAAATTAAAATAAAATTACACTTTAGAATAAAGTTTATCGGTGTGGCTTAAATATATATTTCGATTTATAGTAATTTTCATTAAATTTTAAAGTTTTCTGCAATAGGTTAAATTTTCTTAAAATACGGTTTGAAATTCAGTTTCTTTATAAAATGTAGTAACTTGTACTTTTAGAGGCAAATTAATATTAATTTTACACTCTTGTGTCACGAATGAGATTTTAAATTCTTTCATATATAAGAAACGATGAAATGTAATTTTCTTATTTTTATATTGTTATAAGTAATAATAATTGTAAATAATTTAAGTATCTATAAATTAATACTATAATTATATTCTCTTAATCTCTCAAGTAAGAAATACTTTTGAATAATCGGTTTTTATGTTTTTCTTAATATGTAAAGTGAATACTAGCTACCCTTAAATAGTCCTCCAGAAAGGCATCCCTTCTCTTAGGTAGGCAGCCCTTGTGTGTTTTGCCATATTCAAATAACCTAAACTTAACTCAGAAATATTTTTCTCTAACTAAATTTCTTAATAAGGAAACTGGGTTACTTTAACAACACAGCTTAAATATATAATATGAAAAAGCGTGACATAATTTACGGGAAGAAAGATCTAATATACTAAATTTTAAAAATAATCTCAGAAATTAACATAAAGGAAACATGTAGAAAAGTTAGTGTTGTAAAGTAATACGCAATTTGTAAAATTATAATTATTGAAAAACTTATTATGTGTAACTAGAACCTGGTTATGGAAGTATGGCATCATTTGTAATGTGACCCTAAGTACCCGGCATGGACGTAATAATTATTTTGTGAAATTAATTTTGAAAAATAGCAGAGCACGATGAAAGTACTGCTGCATCGTGCATAAAATAAATTTCATCTTAATATTACCTCTTAATATTAAAAACAAAAAAAGTGAATTATGTCTACGAAATTAAACTGACTCCCTAAATTAAAATTTATAAGCAGTGAGACAAAAAATTGCGAGTAAATTTTTTATGATGTCCTTGTTTCCGCATTCTTGATAGTACTTAAAAGTTAATCGATTGTCAGTTCATTATTTATTTTTTCACCGCTTTTAAATTACGCTTTTATTATTATATATTAATTATTATTGTTATCATTCACATCAATATACAATAAATAATGCTTATCTGAAAATTTAGCTGAGACAGTATGTTCAGCTAGCAGAAAAAACAGAGCTAAAAAAAGTGGTCACTTAATCCTCGAGACGAAAAAACGCTATACTAACGCTTTGGTCAGCCATTCTTGACAATACTCGATATGGTAGACTGTGTATGCATTCATCAAAAAATACAGTTTCACGATTTCTTAGTACTACACAAAGTAAAAACACGCTGTAAACTGTCAGTATTTTAAATTAAAAAAGAAATAACTAAAATCGTATTAGCGTAAAAACTATTAGCTATTAGCGTAAAAAAGAATTTATTCATAGAAAAGTTTGTTGAAACATTTAACAATGAGTCGGGACAGCAAGGTCAGAGCGCAAGAATACCACCCATTACAGAAGAATTACGTGAGCAAGATCAAGAAAGGTTAGAGTGGGGAAGACTGAGAAATTTCTTGTGGTTGCATTAAAAATTTGCTGTGACTTGTATATGACATCTGTACGACATTCACATCTAACATCACCATGTGAAACTTCTGCAACGTTGTACTGTGGTCACAAATGTAATGTGAAGAAATGTAACATTGAGATGTCACTGCAACGTTATGGCAACTAAGAGTGCTATATGTGTTTACGAGGATCGCGTCAGCAAGGAGTCACAGGAAGGAATGAACTAGCCCTTCACTTTAACCCTGGAATAAATTAATTTGTAGAAATTCCGCTTCATATTCTTTATTTCACAATGTCTAACTGTAGAACTTAAGCAAAGAGTGTCAAAGATCGCGAATTCTAGAAATAGGCTGCTATACAACATGTAAGTTTAGTGTATCCTTTAGTTTTGTGTGTTCTTATCCACGATTTCCTGAACTAAGTGCTCCTCGAAAAATAATATTGAATATACTGATCACATATGAACGTACGGCTAATCATATGCAATGTTTATGAAACATTTCCTTGGGATATGAATATTATTAAAAAATTTTTGCAAGCATAAAACTGTTATAAACGCCAATTCAGGGAAGAAAGTAGAACTCTGTAAAGATAAAACAAATAATTTTCACTTACCTTGGGTGCCACTTCGCGCAAAACGCCAAGTATTGAGGCGATATCTAATTAGGGATAAGAATGGCAAACCTGACACTAAATACAGCTTCATGAAAAAAACGACTATTAAATTAAAAGAAATATAGGTATAAAAACTGAAAAATAAAAAAAGCACAAAATAGATTTTTTATTATATTAATTTCAGATTACACAGGTGGCATAAAGGAGTTGACTTCCTTTAATATTGTCAAAAACATTTACGTTTTCTTATGCACTCCAAGCAGCATGAAATATAAATAGTAACAAGCAGCCCTGAGAAAGTTTATTTCGCTATTTTCCAGTGTCAAATCGCCTTCTTTTCTTAAAAAAATCTGCATTTAACAAATAATAACTGAAAATTATTGAACGTAAATTCTTAGACTGATGTTTATTCTTTCCACTTGTTCTCAATGGTGTTAATGAGAACTCAGGACGTGTAGTTTATCACACTTGGGCCTTCCAGCCCCATTGTGAAAGTCTCCTGTTGACTGAAAAGTATGATAACATGGGTACAAACGCCGAAAGAATAGAATTCTGAAATAATAAAATGGTGGCAAAACGCTGTAGGTAAAAGAATTCATTTTGGCAAGGGTAAAACATTCAATAAACGCCCATATAGGTTTACGTTTCTTCCCTTAATTGAGCTTTTTAAAAGCTTAGTGTTCTGACTCATTTGAAAAACTTTCAAAATTTAAAGAAACTACGGATATTGTTCGGAGAACAGTCTTGACTCCAAAAACGGGAGAAACAGCTTATTATGGTAGAGCAGGGTATGGTTGTCATCCTTACTTCCTCTAGGGAGACAGCCGTAATACTTTTCCCTTGCTAAGGGATTATCTGTATAGCAAATCGGGGTAGTAAGTATTCGGAAAATATCGTGTTTACTATTTGCTTATCAAAGTGACAGTGAAAGAGTGTTAAATTAAAAATAGAACATAATTGAACAAAATACAATTCGATGTATAATTATTGATAATTTATGTAAAAAATATGTGTCCTACACCTGTCCTAAAGTTAATCCGAGAAACAATTCAAGTCAATCTAAGAGGAGCTAATATAAATAATGGTGTAATTTTTATCATAAAAATTTGATATTTATAAGTTAATCGATAACTTTATATATATTTTTTTAATTTGAACATAAGACAAATTAGCAGCTGAACACTCAGCTTGCAAATTTTATAGCTAGAAGGGACGGCTATAATTAAATTATTTAAGCTAACTATTCAGTAATATCTGCTACAACTCCAGTTATAAATGTATTCGAAACATATTCTTTATTTTATAGAGTACTTCCAAAATGCACTATTCTGCATATAATATTGCTTTTTTGCGATTTAAAAACTTTACAAATTCTTTCTTACCCCATATCGAACATAGTTGAAAGTTTCGAAATATTTCAGAAAGTAACTTATTTGAGGTATAGTAATTTTTTTTTAATTTAAATTTTGAAGAAAATCACGCACTATAAATTCAAGCCTCAAAGCTGTATAACTGAATGGTAATTTTGTATCAAAAGGTCTCAAGTGGTGAACAAATACATAACACAAGATATAAATATACATAAATAAAAAAAAAAATACCGAATAACATGACAAAGTAAATATAAAATTCAGACTTCCATGACTATATTTGGATTGAGAATGGACACTGGCCTATTTTTATTAATATCATTCTTATAATCGTAATTTTATAATTACGATTGTGAGTTTAGAATTTATAATTACGATTATAAGAACGAATACGTAAACGAATATGAAACTGTCTAGTCAGATGGTAGTAAAAATTTCTCAGTAGAATTATGCCTAGTTCCGTATGAATTGCATTGTTTCTAATATAGTACGGTGCGTTTGTAATTTGCCTCAGAACAACATTCTGGGCAGTTTGCAGTGTTTTACCTAAAGTTTTACACGAATGCGCCCAGACTGGACAAGCGTAACAGAGCATGCGACACAAAATGGATTTATAAATGAGTAACTTATTATCTATAGATAGAACGCTTTAACAAAAGATCGTTAATTTTCTTTTGTAGAATATTTTGAATTTATCAAAATTCACTAAGAATTTATTAGATAGATTTAATTTTTTTAACATATATATTGAAAAATTCCTGAAAATCCTCCTTTGGCATTTAAAAAGAATTATATAACTTTTTCATTCATTCTTTCCTTGATCACTCTCATATCAATTTTTAATTTGCCTCAAAAGTGTTTTCTCATGAGAAGAAAATCACACATTTTATCCATTTCGAAAGTAAATCAAGGATTTTTGTGGTTTTTATTGAGTTTTACTCTGTTATAGATGTCTCAATAAGTTTCTGTTTGAAATAAAGTTTATTAATTGAAATTTGAGGGTTGACGAATTCCTCGGGAAACGATAGTAGGACCGCATAAATTCACATCCGGGACACTTGGTGAGGTACTTCAGTTATGGCGGCGATGTATTGGTAATAAGTATTATAAAACTTTTTCCTCGAAATAAGCCATCGTATTGTTTTCTATTATATTATAACTTTTACACATGTGCTAGTATTAAATGCCCGCAAATAACCAAGAAACATGCAGAATGTAGCTCACGCTTCGAATTGTGATAGTCCTAGAGATAGTGAAATAAACGAGGTTGGTAAAGACCATTCAGGCTCCTCGTCACCTCTAAGTGGAAATATAAGTGTAGAAAGGGGACCAAGCGTCGCATCTTTACAAGCTCATTTCATGGCTGAATTATCTGAAAGTGACGATGATGATGTTTCGGAGGTATGTGTATTTTATATTAATTTTTTTTGCTTCACTGGTTTTTATTACGTATCAAATGTTTGTAGGCCTAGGCTGTTTACCCCCTCCCTTCATGCAATCAAACAAGACAGCATTTTCATAATTGCTCTAGCATTATAAACGCAGTCAGTTTTGTGTGTATGGAATAAAATTTATTATAGATATTCTGGAATCAGAATAAGCTACTGAGCATTATTTCGCGAATATGTTTGGGGTATTTAAATCGAGTTGTATGTTTCATTGTTGAGGTCAACAATGTAATGGTTTCTCTCGTTGTGTTCAAACATTGCATTTATTTCGTTTCTTCTGATAGAATAATTCGTTTCGAAATATTCTTAGTCTGAATAAACGAAAAAAAAAAAAGTGATATAATATTGCGTATTTTATGCATTTTTTAAAAATAATATAAAAATAGTTGAATGTGAATTAAATAACGAATAATGGGAACCGATTATGATGCGATCGGTATTCTGCGTTTATTGTAGGTGGAATGCTTTTTACCATTAGTGTGAAAGTATGTGTAAGTTCTATATTAGGTAATTTAAAAGAAATCTTGAACTTTCATTCTTCTCTGTCATTTGTTTATCTTTTTGTTAAGTATACATTTTTATTAATTTATTGTATTCATCTAAGTATTAAAATAAAATATCCAGGCATTGTTTATTATATAACCAGTTTTTCCTAGAGTTAGTTTTCTAATGATGGTGTTTAATCTCCACTATTTAATCCTCACTCAGTCATACTTCCTATGGCACATCTTTGAAAAACGTAATCATTAATGAATGTCATAGTTGTTCAATGCATTTGATCTAGTAATAAATTATTTGAAATGTAATAATGGTAATATATAAACCTTCATTGCACTTTGTCAAGAACCTTAAATTCTGTGATTTGTTACGTATATAAATGTTGACCTCTTTTTCTGTGTGTTCAAGACCTTTAATATTAACAAATTTCTAATTTTTTCTAGCTTTTTAAGTCACTGATGCTTGTATACATTTCCATACTGTTATTTTCTAATCTAAACATCATTAATGTTATATAGTAATAGATTGAAAAGATGGAGGCTTTATTAAGTTTCTTTTTTGAATTAGATAAACTAACTTTTTTTTGTTCAGTGTCTTAAAAAAAGTTAACTTACCAGTGCTTTGATGTATTACTTTTTAATAATGCTAATAAAATAATGTAATAATTTTACATAAAAAAGAAAAAATAATAATGTAGAGTTGAAATATAGTTTAATGTATGTTTCAATAGATGTTTATGTAATATTTTATGTAAGATGTTATATCTAAAGATTTTGTGTCTTAATTTTTATACTTTTTTTTTTTTTTTTTCTGTTTAGTGTTTAACCTATTTATTTTTCTGTCAGACTTTTAAATAAAATTATGTTTTTTTTTTTTTTTTTTTTTTTTTAGTTTTCTCTTAGCTTTTGCTGTGCAACAGTGTTTATTTGTATTTAATTTATGCTAATATTTACATCTTTATGATAATATCTTTTATTTCTTTCTGATTGATGCAGTGTTGAGCAAATTGCTATCTTTTATGCATTCATGTTGATTTTAATGTCCGTTTTTCATAATGATAAAATGCCTAATCGATTTTTTAATTTTTGAAAATTTCATCTATTCATAACTTTTTACAGTGGTAAGTGGGTATGGTGTAAATTTCGAGTGGAACTACTATCATATACGGATGGCATTGGCAAAACTTTCTTGCCAAACATTTTTGGCAAAGAAACTCCACGATTTTACTTATCTGAATTTTTTGTTAACATTTCAGACTTAAAGCCTAAAATGTGTAAAAAAACACAGTTTTCACATGTGCAAAAACCACATTTTTGCACACGATTACGCTAAAAATCTGAAATAAAAACAAAAAATTTAGATAAGTAAAAGCGTGAAGTTTCTCACAAAAAATTGACACAAATTTAAATTAAAATAACAACAATAAGTTCCAGACAATTTCAACACGAATAAATTTAGAAATTAAAAAAAAGTAACAATACCAAATTAAGGCATAGCAGCCATTAAAACTATAAAAAATTCACTTACCATTTAAAATAGTTCCAGAAAAGCAAAATATTAATTTCAAACAAAAACTTGTAAGAACAGATTACATATATAATCCAGTATACTTTCATTAATAAAATTGTGCCAATCACAAAAGCATGCGAACCAAAATGCCACAACTTGGCTATGTCACATCTTTCTAAGATTCAAAATTTCAAACATTACAATAAAAATTTCTTCTAAAGTCAACTTACTGTAAGAAAACCAGGATCCAAACCTCAAAATTCGTTGACAAACACATTCTTTACTTTCAGCAATTATTCTGCAAATCCATCAAAAACACAGTTTTTTCTTCCGAATCTTCATATCAGACCAGCACTCTCACGTCAAGTTCGGCTTCAAAAAATCCTGTATCCCATAAAAACTGCAAAAATACACTTGTGTCAGCATGAAGACAAACATGAACAAATGCTTTATTAATAACTCCAACAACATATCTTGTCGAACAAAATCTAGCTTGAATACTTTCTAAAACATGTGGCTGATATATCTCCACAACTTCCTTCATGGAACTATATGCCATTATTCAATATATAACCGAACAACCACCACGATGAAATAAAACCACGTTCCTCACAAAACTTTCCACATAAAAAGGGTTGCCATGCAAACAAAGTCTCAAATAAACCATCCAACATGAAATATCGCCACATTTGGCGACCACATGTATCCCGGGCCATATATGACATTTGTACCTTTCGAGTTTCCACATTTTGTGCTTGTGTATATGTTTTTGTTATACTTTGCTTTATTGTTGTTTATCTTGATTTCTATGTAAAATAATAGGAAACGAGATTAGGTCTTGCTGTTTTCAAATATAAGAAGGTTCACTTAATAAGTAATTGGTAATAAAAAAAAATAACCAATTGGCTATATTTATTATCGCAAATCTAGAGGATTTCACATGCAAGACATTTTTATACTTTTCTATTAAGCCCGGGCCGAAAGATCACAAAAAAGTATTAATGAGATGATGCACTCACTATACAGTACAAAGTTTTTAATCTGGACTAGTCAGGACTTCGGCGATTCCGGATTAGGGTTTTTTCCGGATTATGGATCACCAATTTAAATCTGGTAAGATGGCATGCAGAAATTATAAAATTAAAAATATGAAACCGTAATTTATGAAATAAAGAGCAGTTATGATCTAAAGGGCATCAAAATTTACAAAAAAAAAAGAAGCTTAATATTTATTTGTTTACTTTATTAAATATTTCTTTCAACGCATGCAGCATAAAGAATACATTACGCATAGTCGAAATCAGAAAATTGCAACCAGAAAACTATTTGATGTGTATTCGTGATATTTATAATGACGAGGAATTTTATTCAAATCATATCAAAGACGGAGTACATCGAGATGAAATACTACATTTAGTAACGAATTATAAGCCGAATAAAATGAAAACATCTACTCTGAAGATGAGGATAGTGCTGACAGATGAACTTCCAGTTCATTGCGCGCCACGACGTCCCCCCCCCCCACAGAGCAGCGTGAAATTGATAAACAAATTTCGAAATGGTTAGAGAAACAAAGAATATGCCTTTATCCATTTTTTTCAGCAATTGCACTTTTTGTATGATGGACATCGAAACATGCTTTCGTTTTGTAGATCCTTTGGCAGCTCCAGAATCGCAAACTCTTTTTGACATAATCGAAAGTTCAAGCTTACTTTGTATAAAATTGCTCTAACAGTCTGCAAAACCTAATAAGCCAGATCCAATTAGAAGATTAAGGAACAACACAATCTGCAACATTAACTGAAATAGATAATTAGATAATTTTAGCCTAACTTATACCGTCCGTTGCACATTAAATGTGCATGCCTAAACGTATTATGCGCATGCGCAGAAAGTTTGTAGCTTTGAAGCCCCGGATTATAGATCATTCCGGATTAAAGACTTTGTACTGTATCACCAGAACATATTTACATGGTGGCCCAGGTATGCATGTAACATCTCCCCAAAATAGCTTTTCCCAGATATTTTATGAGGAAACAGAAGAATGGAAAAAAAAAGTAGGTGGCACTGGATGTTTCGATGAAATATATTTAAAAATACCGAAACAAACATTTCTGTCCACAAGTCACCAAGGCAAATGTTCTCCAAAGTTGGAACGAGTTTGTGACTTTAGTCGGTTGCTTATAATGAGAAAGTACCAGTTTTGTATTCTGTTGAAGCTTTCTCATTTAAGCAGAGTATTATTAACTTTCTAAGCAGCCAAACCGTATGTGTGTTGAAAGCAGGCAGACATCTATCTTGAAATATATCTAGAGAATTAATAACATACATATTAGAAGAAAAAACGTCAAGGTAAAAATTAGGAGTGTTTTTTTGGAATTATGATCCAAGGAAATGTGTCTCTCTCGCTCTTTTGAGGAAAATTTAGGAGAATGGGGCCAAACCTTTGGCTTCTTGGAGACTTTAATCTTAAATATGTTTTCCACACCAAAGAAACTCTTGGATTGTCCATCTTTTAATGAAAAACTAAACTGTATGGCTGGACAGTTTGGTACCCAACTGTAAATTTATTGAAAACAAACAACATTTTCCAGCATCTATTAGCATTTTAAGTTATTGCAATACATTTGACTGGAGACAGAAGAGAAACACGCCTCAAATAAATCTTAAAAGTGAAGCAACAATCTGTGTTAGGTGTAAGTTTTTCAATTTTGCGGATTTCTTTGCTGTTGGTGAAGAGGAACATTGTCACCCTTGAAATCGATAAGAGTTTCTATGCTAAAAATCTACACCTAACACAGATTATTGCATAACTTTTAACATTTGACTGAATTCAAATGAAACCACACGGACCCTAATTCTAAAGAAAAGAGAGACTAATGTAAGTCAGAGTATGATTATGATATTCAATGCTTGTATCTTTTATGTAATAAACAGACAAAAAGA